TGTGTCACTACCATTGTGATGTTCTTACTCCCTGACCAGTGTGTCGCTACCATTGTAGTGTCTTTAATCCCTGAACCATGTGTCACAACCATTGTAATGGTCTTACTCCCTGAACAATGTGTCACTACCATTGTAGTGTCTTTACCTCCCTGAACAGTGTGTCACTACCATTGTGATGTTCTTACTCTCTGAACAGTGTGTCACTACCATTGTAGTGTCTTTACCTCCCTGAACAGCGTGTCACTACCATTGTGATGTTCTTACTCCCTGACCAGTGTGTCACTACCGTTCTAGTGTCTTTACTCCCTGAACAGTGTGTCACTACTATTGTTATGTCCTTTTTTAAACAAATATGATATTCTTTGAAACGAATACTTTCGCTGTAGGAAGCATGTACTTGTTTTTGGCAATGCAACTGAAAGCTCTGCCGTTATCGTGTTAATGTATCACATTGAGGCTAAATGTTAATTTGATGTGTGTTTTGCATTATTGAAAAATAGGCGAAACATACAGTATGCATACACGTGTATGTGTTCTGTACACATTTATAACACATGGTTTTGTTTCTTCAGTTGGCAGAAGTATTTGAATTATACAAAGATGCAAAACGAGGCAGAGGACAAGACAAATCTGAACACGTGCTTCCCACCCCCGAGCAGCACTAGCGTCTGGTGTGACCAGATTTCTAACAATGCGGACCACTACGCCTCGCAGGCCACCAATCATACACAGAGTGGAAGTCTGTCAAGTCAGGCGCCTCGCCGTACATCATCTGAATCTTGCTTTGCGTCTTCGTTAAGCAGTGCAATAAACGTGCTCGATGACGTCAATACTGGCGATGCGCTTACCCCAGATGGCTATGCCAACATCAATATCCACGGATATCATCAGAGTAAAATGCCACAGAGTTCGAGGGATGCGGTAGATTTACAACGTCAGAGTAATACTCTACAAGCGTTAGACCTCAGTTCGGGTACTCAGACCCAAACCACTGTATCTAATATTGTTTATCTAGGACAAGAAACCACTCACATAGGATCTGGCGATAGTGCTAAATCTGTAACCATAGAAGGCAGTCCGCCAGATAAATCGGAGGATTCAAGGCCGCTAAAGAAGAGGACGGAACGTTACAGACGCGATTTCCTAAACGGACGTTCTTGCGTAACCTCCAGTGACATTCCAACCGGAACTTACCTCGAAGACGTGGTGTTTCTTACATCACCTGAAAAAGGGGTGGGTGAAGAGGTTTTGTCGCGTAATCTGTATAAACAAGCAAGTGAGTGTATAAACACAGGATCAAATAAAGGCCTTGCTACCTCTCCTAAGCTGGTTATCGATGTAGGACATGACTTTGTAAAATCTCTCAAATCTGGAACGGTTATCACCGACCTAATCCCAGCTAATCTGACAAACGCAAAGTCCATCCAGCTTGACTCCAATTCCGTTGCAGAACCAGCAACAAACCAGAAACATTATGAAAGTACAGAGACAACTGGAAACGCCGAAAAAAGTCTGGATATCGGACAGGATATTGAACCTTGCCCTGTCAATATAAAGAAGGAACTGGTGGATGATTACTGAGTTTGATCATTGACGATTCAGGCTGAGATATTCGATACGCTGTTTTCACGTTTGCTCATACTTATATTTACCTATACATACTAGTTTATAGAGACATTTATATAACGGAATATATAGCATTTAACTTAACGCCACACGTCATTGAATTGTTTCCAAATTACAGATGTCTTTAAAATTTACCGTTTTTGCATTGTTATTCTTTACAAGAATTTGTATATCCACTTTTTGGAAAAAGCTGGGAATGTTTTCCCTTGGGCACTTATACCACATTAGTTCCCGGGCAGTAACTAATAGAGAGGAGGAACTCATCTTGACGTTGTGTACTAGCCATACTTCTGTCTAATATGTGTCTGGCTGTGATCGTGGTAGATGTGTCATACCTTAACTTATTACTTAAAGGTATTCTTTCTGTGACTGTCTATATACTAGTCAAACTATTTTAAATCGTCGTAGAAAAGAAATGTAAGGGGTATACAGACTAGTATATATATTGACGAATTAAAAAAAATAACGTGATACGTAAATCTCATGTCTTGGAAGCGAAATATGATTCTTTGCTGTTTTTATCCTTTAATTTTACAGTTTAAAATTCTGTCTGCTTGTTGGTACCTATTGTCTCCATTTGACGTCATCATATAATAGCCCGGAAGTCTATGACATCATTGAATTATCATTCTGTGACTTCACCATAGATCATACTACATGAGTTTATAGGCGAATCATGTGATAAAAAAGTGTTAGTACCGTCAATAGCAAACAGTTCTCTAGGTTAGGATTACTTCAGTAACAGTCAGTCAAAGTTGATAATTTCCCCAAATATATGACGTCCCCTCTCCCTGCACCAGACAGAAATTTTCGTGCACACACGGTGACTCGTTAGAATTAATCCTATACTCGTCCACATTAGTATTGCCTCCAAAGACGCCAGTACCTATCTTGAATCCTCTATTATACGACCGTTTACATTTTTGTCAGATAATAGGTCCATAGTTTTCAATACCTTCCACTTGTCTGTACCTAAGCACTCACATACCCGTTTTTTGTCTTTCTTCGCGCTTGCTCGGAGAATATGGATGCACGATGGAGAATGAACGTAATTATGTATACCTCCCGTAAGTCACCGTTTGCTAAAATATATATCCGTCAGCTACCAACGTCATAGACCTCTTCTAACAATATACCTTCATCAATCGTCATAGTTGGTATGAAATATCTGGCATTTCTTATACGACATGTGTAGGATTCCGTTGATGCTACTCTTACCAGCCCCTTAGCTTCTTTCTATATCGGTTCCCTCTTCATATTGGAATCGTAATGTTCAAGTGGCGTATTCCAACCAAGCAAGTGAAGTTCTTAAATGTTTTCTATAACGGTTTATTCGTATTAGTCTGGTTAATTATTGTCTTTTCTTATTCTGCTCTTGTAAACTCTAGTATACAGATACGCTATAAAAACGGTAAACTTCCCGATTCGTTCTGGTTTCTTCAGCACTTTTAACTCCTATGTAGAGATAACAATTGACTATGTCCTCCCCTTTCTTCCTCGGTACTTTTGAAGTTCTATGCTAATATTTCCAGTGATGGCACTTCCTTCTCTCCTGTTTTCCTTGTCCAATATCCGCATAACCCCGACATCTTCAAACTCTTCTTTCATTATAACCGTTCGCTATTTTCGATAAACCATTTTCAAACTTTCAACCAAAGATGTTCTCAATATGATTTCCAAGACCTCTTCAAACACTATTTTTACTATTTTCACTATTTTCACTACTGGAAAGGGTTGGGGTGGCCAAGTGATTAAAGCGTCTGGCATTCTGCTACCAGTAGACCTCCACCACTGGGTCGCGGGTTCGATGCCTATGCCGGTCAGCCGCCAGTTACTGGCCGTAGGTCGGTGGTTTTTCTCCGGGAACTCTGGCTTTCCTCCACCACCAAAACCTGGCACGTCCTTAAATGACCATAGCTGTTAATAGGATGTAAAACATAAACCAACCGAATTGTTGGATTTTGGGTCCGCTTCCACCGAACTCTGAATGCTGCCTTGTAATACAACTTTTGGAAGATGTGCTCAGTACTGACGTGTTCCCTGACATTAAACCTCCTGTATCTTAGTAGTAATCACTGTTCGCCCTATCTGCGTCATAGCATGTGTATCGTTTGGCATGCCTAGTCGTTATGGTGACATTGGTCATGTTGAGTCTAGCATCCGCCCTCACTCTCAGAAGAACCTGAAAATGTCCTTATTTTGTCCTTTTCAGAAATCTAACAATAAAATATCATGTAGTCAAAAAAAGCCATTGGCTTTTAAACTGTACAAAACTATGAACTACCTATTTCTTGGTAGCAACATCCCTGTTTCCCTACTAAACAGTGTTTGTATTTTGTAGCTGGTTCCACATTCAAGAGCTTGCTCCCAATATCATAACTTCCATCAAAAATGTTGCCCGCTGATGGACCAACTTTCAAAACAGGGTTTCCAAACAAGCAGGTTGATGAAGACTGGGCAGGTTTGATGGTTGCCATCATGATCGCATAAGACAACATTCTATCTCTTTGTGTGATATAAAGTTATTTGTTTTGATTACGCTCATTAGTGTGCCTTGTTGTTTTGTTGTCACTTCTGAGATATAGGTATTAGAATGTGTTAATACTTAGATTTGACAGATTTATAAGGTAGGTATCATCTATGAAGAGAAAGATTCTTTCCATTCAAGAACACCTTGTCCTATTCTCCTTTTAATTTCAGAACTCGTATATCAAAGAAAAGATCATTTAATTGAGAATTTTTGTCCTTGCAAAATTAAAAAGGTAGTGTTCATAACAGAGACCCACTGTGTAAATAAGCATTCATCAAATCATGCTTGAAGATAAATATATATACATTCATTTCAAAACGTTTTTTGAAAAGTTCTAAGTGCATGTATAATAAAGAAAACATGACTTTTATCAATAAAATAACAATGATTTATTTTCAACTAGTACTGTTGGGGCAGCCAGGTCCAGTCTATGGGAGTCTTTCCATTCGCTTCAAGGACGGCATTACACATGGAGAAGTGATTGCAACCATAGAAGCCTCGATAAGCTGACAGTGGTGAAGGATGGACCCCTTGTAGAACACAGTGCTTCATCTGAAAAAGGAATTCATGTCAATTTTAAGTATCCTGCAATCAAGTTTTTGATAGTTTCCACTAGAACTGATGTGACACAATAGCAATACATAATAGGGAACCCTCCAGTACAATTTGTATTAATCAGATCGTTAGAATAGTGCTGGGTTCTTTTTTTATTATTTTGGTAATGGGCCCGATGGCTTTAAATAGATAACCTGAATAACCAAGACATGATTAGCAGTAATTCAATATCCTCACCAGGTAGATACTTAAATTTACCCTGGTCCACAGACATCGCAGTTTGTAAACACACACATGTAAACAGCTACACACAACTATTGTGGAAATTCAAAGTTCGGTCACGGTATACGAGCATAACCAGTGTCTACCTGCCTTAATAGACCCTAAAATGTAGTGAACTTAAATACCGGAGTGGTCAATAAGCTACAGCCTTGGACTACATTTCACAATATCTATTTATGCAACAAATATACAAGTGAAGCCACAACATTCATAACAGTGGCCAGGGCAACAGTACATTTCTATGTGGGAGTGCATCAGAGGGCATCTTCATGCCTAGTTCAGATATTAACATCATGTTTATAGACACTCGTGTGGTGGTCATTTACCCTGAACAGAGTGTTCCTCCAGCTTGTGCTGACACGACTATATTGCAGTTTAATGAGGCTGACTGCCCACCCGGGTATGTAGCCTTACCACTAGTTCAAACAGGACAGATGTGCAGCACAGTGCTACACAATTCATTTGTTAAATCTGAGGATGTTACATTTGTGTCAAGCGACATTTTTCGAGAACAAAATGACAACAAACATAGGGACATGGGATTACCAAGTGACTCTAGCGGACAGGGGGGTACATGAGGTAGATCAGATTTCATACACTGTTTTCATTGTAACAGTTGGCCTAGGGCTGCAAATGAATGGGTGAGACGTACACATCTTTATGGATGGCCATTGTTTTGTAATCAATCTACTTCAATGATACCATCGATTAGTTTACCAATGAAATCACAGTCAGAGCTGGAGGAAGCAATCGCGTATGCGTATACATTGAGGAACATATCTTTAATGGCACAGCAAAGTTATCAGCATCACTTAGCTGATTCTACCAACAATAAAACCATGTACAAGATCACAAGGAAGTGTAAACACCAGATCACCTATTGTGCCGCAATGGGAACATGCACTGAACTTTTGTACTTAGCGACACTTCATTTCCTGACAGGGAACTACCCGAAGTCCCTACAGATGTGTAGACAAGTGATGTCACAGCCATCATATTGCACGGGAGGTTTCACAGATCTACCATCGAAACAAAAAGCATCATATTTACACAAATACTGCGAAAAATGATATAATTTAATTTGAAAGCTTAAGAAAACATTGACAAAATCAATTGGCTTTTCAAAAGAATGACTTCATCTTCTACATCTTCATCCTGAGGTAGTAAAATGTCCATCAGGCCTTTTTATCCTCCTACTACACTATGCTGTGTTTCTATTCTTCCTGTGCCGCTACATTTATGAGCTTGGGAACATTAGAGGACGCGAAGTAGCACTGCATAACCTGATAGTGGTAAAGTATGATGATCTACGGGGAGGACACAAACACTGGATAGTGCACACACTCCTAGGGATCTGCTACCAAACTTTGGGTGACAATCGTCGGGCTATCAGAGCTTACATGGAGTCGGCACAAACAAAAACAATGCACCATGACTTTAACCCTGCCCTAGCGAGGGTGGAGGCCCTACAGTAGTCAGACACTCAGGGAAGGACAGTAGAGGTGGAGAAGTAACCAGTTGTATGACAGCCAGTAGCCAGTCAGATTCTGTGAATCGTTGGCAATGGGAAAGGATAGCGACCCGACAGAGGTCAAAACATTAAGCAGTGGTGTGACAGCAAGAATTAAGCAGTGGTGTGACAGCCAGTAGCCAGTCAGATTCTGTCAGTTGTTTGAAATGGGAGAGGATCGCGACCCTACATGGATAAAAATAATTAAGCAGTGGTGTGACAGCCAGTTGTCAGTCAGATTTTGTCCCTTTTTGACAACGAGCAAATGCATTTGTCCGGTATTCTTATCCTTATATATACATGCACATTAAAATTATGATATTCAGCAGGCCTCGTGTAGTTTCTAGTAGATATACAGTTGTGGGATCGCAAAAAGTTACACGATGTGCGGTGTGCGAACGTTAAAAATCTGGACGCTTATCGCTAACGCACATTTGTGCGGACGATGTACGAACGTTGTGGAATGACAATCGTGGTTGGTGTAAATTGAGAAATGGCTTTACAATATATACGGTTTTGTGTTCAAACTTATAAATTTGATTTTTGAAATATGTTTCTATATTCTAGCTACACATATAAGCTGATCTTTAAATCTATAATTTCTTCAATTTGGAACTGTTTTTTGGTGTTTTTTAAACGACCCAAAATGACACATGTAAAATTATAATACATATGGACACAGTCCCCTATACAGGTAAACATAGCCACTTTGTACATGTTTACCTGAACCTTAGTTTTCCCCACCAGGGCACTTGCGTAGCTCGCCAAGGTGTGAACATCCGGGTGAAAGGGAGCTAGACCAAACTGAATGCAAATAAATACATCCCGTTGTCTTTTCTAGCAGTCAAACGGTATACACGGTGAACCATATATCGTCTCTCTATGTCAGGCACAGGGAGCCAGGTAAAACTCCGGTCACTCATCAAAATGTTATTTATCTGTTCTGTTATCTGAGAGCAAAACCCATTCTCAACAGTTTAACAGTCACTGTAATACTGTGTAACACCCATTATCAATTTGAACATAATCTTAATTAGTATTATGCAAAATTTATATATACAGTGCTCCTTATTCCATACGAGCCTTCCGATTTTTTTCATTATGGTATATTGATCAACCAACAGGGCGAATGATTGTTCAATAGCACAGTTGTGAGCACCATGTGTGGACGATGTGCGCACTATTTTTGGTGCGTTGTGCGGTCACACAACTGAACAAGACTTTTTCTACTTGCACATTAAGGTGATTTTTACCATTGTTCATAATATTTTTGGATTCTGATCAATACCACAAAATACTCCGACTTCATTATCAGGAGAGAAAACCTATTGATAAATTACTTTGGCAGCACCGGCTGTATGCTCCCAATGGGTTGGAGAAAGGTATTGTCTGGTTGCCCTATAAGGCCCTATAACATCAGAAAATAATTTGAGAACCGCTTTGAGACGACTTACGAACTAGGTTGTGGTAAAGCGGTATATAAGAACCTCAAATTATAATTATTATTTAAATATTAGAAGACTGGACAGAGGGTGAGGAATTAACAAGCATACATATGTATTTATTGAATTTAATTAAAGAAAGACACATTAATAAACAGACTTAATTTCTCCAATGTGTGTTTTTCCAATTTTCCAAATACCTTCAAAAGGTTTATTTTATTTTGGGAAGCGGATGTACTTGGTTTCGTCTGAATAAAGGTGTATAAGTCTGATGAGGTAGGACAAACATAAGGTTAGACATAGATGAATGTCGTCAATAAAAACCTTGACTACGAATATTCAGAATTTGTATAAGGACTTTAACACATTTGACCCATGTGACCTTTAAAGTGGGTCAATGTCATTCATTTAATCAAACAGTGTAGCACTGCATCGCAGCATGCTAAACATTAAGTAGGTCTCATGTTAATGAAAGATTGAACTGCTATGTACTATGTGAGCTAAATAAAGTTGCTCTCACAGAACATATTTCAGAGTCTGCAGCTTGTTGTATAGTATTTATTGTATTTTCGATGTACATGAATAAACAACCTTACAATATGAAATTCAAAAGAACCATGCAAGATGTACTGAACAGGATGGCAAAATAGTATTCCACATACACCAGAATCCTCTGTACAGTCAAGATAGTAAAATAATGTTTCACATACATCGGAAGTAAGTAAACTGTTGCCCCAAATGTCTGGTAAAGATATCAGACAAACTAACAAGGCAGAAATACTTATACAACTCAATATTACAGAAGCTTCAGCTGAGGAAATAAAGAACAGCAGTGTATGTAATAAAGTCAAATTCTGAAGCTGTAAAAGATGAAATCAGCATCTGACCCCTATGACCTTGAATATGGTTGAAGGTTATTTATTTGAACAAATTTGAAAGCCCCCTATCCCAGTAATATACTGGTCATATATCATCACCCAATGCCTTTTGGTTTCCAGAATAAGTCATTAAAGTTTTTTCAGCACATTTGATCCCTGTGACCTAGAATGTGACGGATTGCAAACAGAAAGAAACAATACTATGATGTCACGGGAAGAATTAGATGATGTAATAGTCAGATTTTACCGGAAAAGCAGATAACAAATGCTGAAAACTACTGTTACATAATATTGGATTGATGGGGAAACAAATAATCATGCCCTACCATGCGGATGTAACAGAGAAATCTTCAACACCCAGTGCAGAGCCTCAGATCAGACAACCAAATAAATTACCCCTTTGGTTGGAGATTTCTCTGTCACACCTTCAAGGTAGAGGGAGATTCTATCAATTAATCACAACTTTGTCAAGCCAGTGTATTTTTCAACCTAAATATTACAACAGCCTGTTCCTACATGAATTGCATGGGAAAGCAGCCTGTAGTTGACTTTAAACTAGGTAAAATCTTCACTGCAAAGTACACATACAAAGTATGGTGATTTATAAGCAAAACAACAATAAATCAAAATATTACCCCATCAAAAATATTCAGATTTTCAGTAGTCTAGAAGTATTGTGTACCTTGTCTATACACAATCCCTTTTTCTGTGCGTATGACCCCCACAGTATGAACACCAGTCCTGTCCTGTTTTTGTTGAGCCATGATATGACAGCATCTGTGAATTTCTCCCAGCCTCTGTTTCTGTGGGAGTTGGCTTGGCCATGCCCCACCGTCAGACATGAGTTTAACAACAGCACACCTAAAAGATAAACAACACTTACAGATTGGGTAAATATTCCCTATTTCCTTTTTCACTTTTTGAAACATTCTTTGGTTTCAAACACATTTAATCATAAATGTCACACAATTAGATAGCATGTTATCTTTTAATTTTATATTGAAAACATTTTTTACGCTTTATGGTGTATAAGTTATCAGGATTCAAAGTTTAAAACCCAGGACCCAAAAACTCAAAAGACACAACAGAATGGCTAGCTTTCTGATGATCACTGGTGATCAGATCTGTTACATCTATAGAGATATATAGATAATAAAAAAAACTACCATAGAAATAAATAAGAGGCCCAGATGGCTTATAATGCTCATCTGGATATGTTAAGGGGCAAGGTACATAATGTAGGACGCAAGGCTACTCTCTTCATGCCCGGTAAATATATGTGTGATTTTAGGGTCGAGATCTTGGTCATTTCCAAGACATGATGCAAGGTATCCAGGGTGGGGCTGGACCCCAGGCCAATATCGTTAGCATGACTGTATCTGTCTTTATATACCTTTTATTTGTCTATATTTGGTTACAATTATATGTCCTTGGTCAGGTGAGCTAAGAATATACCTACCTTGTTCAGCCCAGCCAATCAGTGTGTTATTGTACCTACCTTGTTCAGCCCAGCCAATCAGTGTGTTATTGTACCGACCTTGTTCAGCCCAGCCAATCAGTGTGCTATTGTACCTACCTTGTTCAGCCCAGCCAATCAGGGTGTTATTGTACCTACCTTGTGCGGCCCAGCCAATCAGGCAGCCGTGACCAGGATGTTGGAATCCCTCTATGTCATTTTTCAACTCCTTATAAATGTTCTCTAAGCTGGAATCAATACAAATTGTCACATGTTAAGCATTTTTAATGCAAGTTGTGGTATTCCTTGAAATCCTACATTTCTTGTCAATAATCCTGTGTCATAGTTTAACAATAGCATGACAATGCCCATCAATAGTTGACAGGATATGAGTTGAACACAGTTAACGATACTCTCACTTGCTATCTATTGATGTATAATGTATAGTTCAGCGTAGTCTCCAACAGCAAGGCGTTTTATATGAGGTCTTCATTTTAATTTGTTACAACAAATTTGATACCAAGCTATATTTAGTTGAAATCAAAATGCTGAGTCCAGGACTCCATTAGTTTGTAAGCCTTTCTACTTTTAAGAGTCTCTATTTGTCCCATATATCATGACCTTATACACACAAGTCATACTACATGTGTTATATTGTGTTACACACATTACTAGGTTATACCATCCATATTCATTACCGGTAATTTCTATGGTAGCATGAGTTAGGAGTTATTAATTAGCCAAACTGACACATTATACCTCTACATAAACTCCTGCCATCGGAGCCGCCTGATTAACTCCGATGGCTGTGTTATTTCTCTACTATATATCATAAAGTCCTATTTACATTTATGTAACCAGGGATTAATGCAGGAATAGAAAATTAGTACCCGTTTTTGAAATAGGGGAAAATATGCACTGTAGGTGCATGCGCATGACCCATCCAGCGAGGGCTGCAGGCTGGAGCCAGGGGGAGAGTACGAGATGGGAGCATGGATTACATCTTTATTTTTTTTGTTTCTTGCTGTTCATTATAGATTTTAAAATATCAGTAGCAACACTTAATATCAACACAGGGAAAATGAAATAAATCACTCAGTTGTGGAACTGATGGAAATTTAAAAGAACAAGAGGCCCAATGAGCCTGAATCGCTCACATGGTATTAATCTCACACTTGTAATCATAAAAGTGGACAATATACAACTACAGGCAAAATATCTGTGTTCGATTCATTTGAATCTATTTAATGATTTAAACATATGACGCATGTGACCTTGAAAGTCGAACAAGGACATTAAGTTGAACAGAGTTTAAAGCCTTCCGTCCCAGAATACTTCTGGCTAAGTATCATTACCTTGGTCCTTTCGGTTATTGAGAAGAAGTTGTTGAAAGGTTTTAAACATATTTGACCCCTGTGACCTTGAAAATGGATGAAGGTCATTCATTTGAACAAACTTGGTGTCCCTTCATCCCAGCATGTTACTGGCCAAATATCATTAGCCTATGCCTCTTGGATATTCAGGAGAAGTTGTTTAAAAGTTTTAAACATATTTAACCCCTGTTACCTTAAAAATGGTTGAAGGTCGTTTGTTTGAACAAACTTGGTAGCCCTTTATTCAAACATGCTACTAACAAGATATCATCATCCTAGGCCTTTTGATTATTGAAAAGAAGTTTTTAAAGTTTTTTTTATTATGTTTGACCCCTGTTACTTTGAAAATTGGTGAAGGTCATTTGTTTGAACATATTTGGTAACCCTTTATCTGAGCATGATACAGTTCAAATATCATTATTCTAGGCCTCTTGGGTATTCAGGAGAAGTTGTTTAAAGTTTTAAACATATCTGACCCCTGTGACCTTGAAAATGGGTGAAGATCATTTGTTTGATTAAACTTGGTAGCCCTTCATCCCAGCATGCTCCTGGCAAGATATCATCCTCCAAGTCCTTTTGGTTATTGAGAAGAAGTTGTTGAAAGGTTTTAAACATATCTGACCCCTGTGACCTTGAAAATGGGCGAAGATCATTTGTTTGAACAAACTTGGTAGCCCTTTATCCAAACATGCTACTAACAAAATGTTTGACCCCTGTTTACTTGAAAATTGGTGAAGGTCGTTTGTTTGAACATATTTGGTAGCCCTTTATCTGAGCATGATACAGTTCAAATATCATTATTCTAGGCCTCTTGGGTATTCAGGAGAAGTTGTTTAAAGTTTTAAACATATCTGACCCCTGTGACCTTGAAAATGGGTGAAGATCAATTGTTTGATTAAACTTGGTAGCCCTTCATCCCAGCATGCTCCTGGCCAAATATTGTTATCTAGGGCTGTTTGGTAATTGAGAAGAAGTTGTTTAAAGGTTTTCAACTTATTTGACCCCTGTGACCTTGAAAATATATGAAGGTCATTCGTTTGAACAAACTTGGTAGCCCTTGATTCCAGCATGTTACTGGCCAAATATCATCACCTTAGGCCTCTTGGTTATTCAGAAGAAGTTGTTTAAAGGTTTTAAACAAATTTGACAACTGTGACCTTGAAAATAGGTGACGTCATTTGTTTGAATAAACTTAGTAGCCCTTCATCCCAGCCCGCTCCTGGCCAACATTATCATCCAGGCCGTTTGGTTATTGAGAAGAAGTCGTTCAAATATTTTAACATATTTGACCCCAGTGACCTTGAAAATGCATGAAGGTCATTCATTTGAACAAACATGGTAGCCCTTGATTCCAGCATGCTACTGGCCAAATATCATCACCTTAGGCCTCTTGGTTATACAGAAGAAGTTGTTTAAAGGTTTTAAACAAATTTGACCCCTGTGATCTTGAAAATGGGTGACATCATTTGTTTGAACAAACTTGGTAGCCCTTCATCCCAGCACGCTCATGGCCAAAAATTATCATCCAGGGCTGTTTGGTTATTGAGAAGAAGTCGTTCAAATATTTTAACATATTTGACCCCAGTGACCTTGAAAATGGATGAAGGTCATTTATTTGAACAAACTTGATTCCAGCATGCTACTGACCAAATATCATCATCCTAGGCCTTTTGGTTACTGAAAGTAATGTGTTTAAAGTAAAAAGTTGACGCCGGACACACGGACGACGGACGCCGTACCATGGCATAATTCAGTTGCCCTTCGGGCAGGTGAGCTAATAATACGATTTTAAAAAGGGAAAATACTGATAATGAAAAATTATGCTACTTATGATAGACTTTGAAAAAGTATTTGATTCTGTTTCATGGGGTTTTATTGATAAGGTATTAGAGTATTTTAATTATGGGGTAAACATTAGAAAGTAGGTTAAAACTTTACATAATAATGTATTTTCTTCGGTTAATCAAGGTGGTAACATTTCTATACCTATTAACATACAACGCGGCTATCGTCTCCGGGCTAAATATCAATACAAACAAAACTCAGGTTGGATAGGCAGTAGAAAAATATAGTCAGGAAACTTTCTGCTGAACTGAATCTGCTTTGGGGGAAGGATAAGTTCACCTTTTTAGGAAAAGATTTTTCTGTTGATTTAAGCGAATGAATTTTGATAAAAAAAAAGTGAAACTCAAATCTCTTATTAATATATGGAATAGGAGAAGTCTGACTCCAATAGGTAAAATCAATATCATAAAGTCTTTGTTAATTTCTCAACTTAATTACCTTTCTATTACCTTGCCAAACCCACCTGAAAGATATATTACAAAGCTGAATTCCTTATTATTTGATTTCCTGTGGAATGGCAAACCTCATAAAACAAAAAAAAGATGTAGTAATTAAAAATTATATAGATGGATGGTTGAAAATGGTTGAAGTACATGCTTTTATAGATTCCCTGAAGTTAGGTTGGGTAAGAAGAGTACTTCAGTCATCAGGAAAATGAAATTTGCTTTTAAATTTGATTATAGATGTAAAAAAAGTTGCACAATTGTGGTAAAGAATACATTCGTACATGTGGATCTAACAGACTGAATAATTCTAGTTCTATGAGTGAAGTTAGACAAGATTCTGTCTTAAAAACTCCACTCTGGTATAACACAGATAGACAAGTAGGAAATAATTTTGTTTTTTATCCAAACTGTTTTTAATTAAGACATCAGTATTTACAGTGAATGATCTTGTAAAAAACCCTAATAATTTGACTTTTTATTCATTTAATGAATTTATTCATAGTTTTCGAATTAACACAAACTTTCTCCAGTACCAAGGACTGGTCTCATTAGCCAAGCGTTTTCTTAGGAAATATGATATTCAGATAGAAAGATCATCCCAACTTTTTATACCTCTTCTTTTTGAAATATTCTTCAAGAATAAAAAAGGATCTAAAGACTTCTATAACAACTTGATTACACCAGCTTCAACACCTACTGGGGTGAGGAAATGGAATGAGGAGTTTGACTCTGAGTTTGATATATATATATGGCAGAAAATACTTAGAATTCCATTTACTGTTACAAAAAAATCAAAATTGCAGCGGTTTCAAGTTAGAATTATACACCATATTCTAGTAACTAACACTTTTCTTTTCAAAACAAGTTTAAATCCTAGTCCCTTATGTAATCTGTGTAATATGGAAAAGGAAACTATAGTTCATTGTTTATGGGAATGTCAAGAAGTGCAGGGACTACTGCAGAGACTTGAAAATCTTTGTGACATTCTTCTAATCCCTGTTTTAATAGATAAAGAATCATTACTTTTTGGAATATCACCACGAGCGAGTACTATTGATAATGAAATTTTAATTCTTATCAAACACTATATATATCAGACTAGATGTCTTCACAAATCTTTGAGTCTCAATGCACTCATCAATGTCATCAAAGACCATTTCCTTGTTCAGAACTATATTAACAATAGTAAAAACAGCTACATAAGAAGGAAGTTTGAAATTGTTTGGAGAAAATGGAAACCTATCCTGGAAATATAACCTGTCATCCTATAAATATGTATTTTGTCCTGGATCCCAAGCCTTGACTTCGCCATTTTTCTTTAGTTCTTTAAATTACATATGTACCACTGAATAAAGTAAAACTATTTACATGTGCATTATTATGGGACCTCTCTCTCTCTCTCTCTCTCTCTCTCTCTCTCTCTCTCTCTCTCTCTCTCACTCTTAGTCTGTTTTCTCTGTGCGAATGTCTGTGTGCGTGGTTGTATGCAGGTTAGTGTGATGTATGTGTGTGTGAGGTGTATAAATGTGTGTTTATGTATGATTATCAGAATATATGGTGGGATGAGTATTGATGTATGGTTGATGATGATGATGATGATGATGATGAAGAGGCATTCATAATAATGATTTTAAATTGATGTTGTTGATGATGATGATGGATTGATAGGAGAATGATGATGATGATGATGATGATGATGATGATGATGATGATGATGATGATGATGATGATGATGATGATCATGCTACTGGGAATTTTTATTTATGTAAAAAAAATGTCTTTAACAATTAACAAATTTAAAAAAAAAGAAAAGAGGAAAAACATTAAAAAAACAGGAAGCAAAAGAAAGAAAAAGAAGTACAATGATGAATGGCTCGGTGCCAAGCACCATATATACGAGCATTTTTTATTTTTTTTTATATATAATAACAAATTTAACAACCACATGCATACTAACAAAAAGATATTCCTGAAAACTTTGCATTTATTTGACTTTTGACCTTGAGGTCAAGATCGCAGGTACCTATTGACAGTGCACTCTAAATCGTCTCTGGGTGATGCAAATCTACTGCAAGTTTTATCAGGATATTTTTAACTTCGCACTTATTTGACCTTATTATTAGGGAACCAGCCTACTGCTAAATCATATAATATATATGAACAAATTCTAATTCTAATGGAGACCATTACAAAAGTCCTACAAACTGACCCCATAGTCGTAAATGATACTAGGATAGAGTTTACAATGCTAACATATACTTGAATACTAAGACTTTTTTTAACTTTGACCTTGAAGTAAAGGCCGAAGTGATCTAATGACACTGCATTGCACATCATCTGTATGTGATGCAGTTATACTTCAAGTTTCATCAAGACATCTTTAATGGTTTAAAAGTTACAGCCCGGACAAGATGTTCCTGAAAAATATGCATATATTTGACCTTTTACCTTGGGGTCAAGGTCACAATTACCTAATGACAGTGCACTGCACATCGTCTATGGATGATGCAGGTATACTGTAGGTTTATCAAGATACCTTTAATGGTTTAAAGTTACAGCCTGGACAAGATTATTTTAGAAGAACCAGAACAAGAAGAACCAACTACAGGTACTAATACAATCTGTCTCCCTTTTAGGGTTAGACACTAACTTGTTTTGCATGGAACTCCACAAGACTAGTTGAATAGATTATTTACTAGTCCTTCACCAATGTAACTAGTCCAAGATTTTCTGATAAGGAAACATCGCGACCTACAGCACGAAACATCAAATAATCGACTGTAGGGGACTAATTAATAACTACTGCCTTAAAATATGGTGAAATTTTAGGGAAGTTTTTATAATTATTATGCAATGTATCTTATTTAAAGCAGTATTCGAAAAATTAAAAAGCGATATTCTTATTTCATAATAATATTTTCACAAGTCCAAAGGACCAGTTGGTCCTTGCTGAATTTTCTACTAGTCCAGGACTAGCGGACTAGTGTTAATTTCGACCCCTGCCTTCATTCAAAGGGGAGACATAACTATATGACCACTCACCAGTGGTGTGAAGTTGGTCCTTCATACTATCTTGCCTGTATTTTCTTACCTTGGTGGAATCTTCGCCCCTGTTTGTACGCTGAAACACAGACCTGGAAAACACAAGTCATGTACTATAAAGCTCAACCCGAGGCAAACAAGAGATGCTAATACTCGTGCTTACACTAAAAGGGATCTTCTAAAAGAACTACCTTTTTCACCGTTTTTTGCAGTACCATAAAAACGTATATGTGAGCAGTCAAACTCTGTTTATAGAGACTTTTTTAGCTTTGGACACTTGTACATTATATTTTCTATTTAGATATTTCTATTACCCTACAGCCAACGTGTTACTCTTACTATGTACTATAATCAGACTCACTCCTTTTCCTAATGGGTTGACAAGTTTTCCGATGTACAAGTGACATAACGTTCTATTCTACTCGGCTGTAGACTTGTATAAGGCTTAGACAGAGATACATCAAAAGTCTACTTTATACATACCATGAGCTTGGTTTGGTTCGTGATATGGGTCCTGTCCCAATATAACCACCTTCACCTAAAATAAAAGTTGTCCTTTAATGTGTGTTGTGGGAACAAAAGAATAATTTAATATGAAACTATTTACATTGACTGAACCATGTGTTGAATGAAGAGGTGTTACATTTAAGGCAACATGCAAAAACAACAAAGTGAAGTATTATGGGTAATCTGTAGTACTCCACTCCCGACAAACTTTCTTATCAAACTGAACAAATAGCTCTAACTTAGTACATATCGAGGCACAAGACCTACACGTACATGTGGATGTAAAGAGGAGAATGTGTGACTAGACTAGCTGACTCAATAACCTCATTGTGTTCATGTTTATTTTCAACAACTAAGAAAATTACAATAAAAGCTAGTTGCTGATCTGTTAATGGGTAAATTTAAGAATGCATGCAAGTCTCAAAATTTGACATAAACATTGTATACCAACAACAAAACACAGTAACAAAAAGGAAAAGGGCTGATTATTATGTACCTAATCGGAGTGTACTTACAACTTACAATAGAAGTGTACTTACAATAGAAGTGTACTTACAGATTCCGGAGTGCAGAACTGAGTCCAGGAGAACACTTGATGAGCTGGCGGGAACACTTGATGAGTTAGCGGGTAGATCGCCCCTTTGGATCTCTCTTCCGCAATATAATTGGCCAACTGAAATAAAAAATGTACACCAACTTCAGAAACTTGGCACCATGCATTTAAGGATCCCTGTCAAACTGTCTTCCGAATAGGTATCTTATGGGAATAAATATTTTATAGGACACCAGTTTAGTCCCACTGAATATTTCCCACTCAGAACACTGATTATATTTTCTTTATTTCATCTTTATCTTTATATATTGTATTCATATTGTCTTGAAAATTAAGGGTCCTGTGGTTTTTCGTATATACAGTGACCACCCTTGAACTTCCGATTGGATATAACTGTAGCACAGTTGGGCTAGTACACTTCCATTGACCAGGTAGCTCAATTGGTTAGAGCAATAGTATAACGATCTTAAGTCCAGGGTTTGTATCCCGGTCCAGCCCCACTGTGTATCCCGGTCCAGCCCCACTGAAATGTTTACACTCAGAACACTCTTGATGCTATTTGGTTAAGTTGATCTTTAATGTTTTTTTACACAAATCCTGCAAGCAATTTGAAGCTATCATTTTCTTTTACAAATGATTTATCAAGGCATGCCAGAAAAAAGTTTCCAGGTACGGGGATCCTTAAATCAGATAAAGATCGTTAAAGTTGATTTTGACCTATCATTGTCCTCAGTGACATATTGTCAGAATCACAAGTATGATAAAACAGCTAACCAGGCTCTAGGTTTAGTGTTTCCATAAACCCCAACATTAGAGACTTGTGCCCAAAATAGTTGGTTGAACCCAAAGTTTCCTAGGAATGCCCCAGGTAACTAAGGACCTGGGAAAACGGAATCTTGAAAATATATCAAATTTCAAATTCAGTTGCATTTTAACTGGAGCTCCATACTTTGTTTCGTTGCGAGGGGATACTAAACAATTAACTATACTAAATACAATCATTAAACAAATTCAATCGGTGTTTGAAAACTTCAGTGCACAACTAGACTGGATTACTGGTACATCATTACCTCCTGGAAGTAAGGTTCGGAAAATTCTCCTTTTAATATAAAATCCCAGCTGCTTCCAATATCGACAATAAGTGCTTGACGGTTCTGTTCCTGTTTCTGAAGTAAGAATAAAAAACAATTATTTAAAAGGTAACTTTATAGAAAGCGTTACAACACGTACAGGAATTAAAGATAAACTTTATTTCTTTTACAATAATTATGAAACAACATATTTCAGCTTATACTATGGTGATGGTCCGGTTACAATAATTGCACGAAATGTGAGGCATAATCTATAGTCCTATGTAATTGCACGTGTTGTAAAAAATAGTATTTGTAGTTTTTTCCAACTCCTCTTATTAAGTACCCCAAACGAAGTTTGGGTACTTATTGTTTTTACTCCGAATTATTAAGTCACCCCGAACGAAGTCGGGTGACTTGTTGTTATTGTTCCGTTTCTTACTTATTATTAAGTCACCCCGATGGAAGTCGGGTGACTTGTTGTTATTGTTCCGTTTCCTACTTATTATGTGCCCCAAACGAAGTTTGAGGGACATATTGTTTTTGGTATTTTTATTATTCTTTCAATATCTTCCGTCGTGAAACTTTCCGGACGTAAACTCAGAGATGCCTGCACATTGCGTTTTAAATTCCGATCAGATCGTTGCCATAGCAACGACACGGTGGCTTCTGATTGGTCAATTTTAGACATTGTTCGATTTTAATGAAAATTGGTATATATGCGTATTAGGTCACTGCGATTTCAACCGCATAGGTGATGTTGCCATATCAACCACACAGAGGCTTCTGATTGGTCGAAATTTAGATAGTGTTCGATTATGATGACAATCGATATATAGGGGCATTAAAGGACTGCAAATTCAATCGCATACCTTCGTTTCCATAGCAACCACCCAGTGGCTTCTAATTGGTCGCAATTTAGAAATTGTTCGATTTCACTCAAATTTAGTATCTAGGTGTATAAAGGCATTGCGATCATTTTCTGATGCATCTTTGTGACTATAGGGTAGATATTGTTCGATTTTGATAAAAAGTGGTATATAGGGGTATTAGGGGACTTCGAATTCAACCGCATACTATACCATAGGATTGGCTGCCATACCAACATATGGAGGCTTCAGATTGGTCGAAATTCAGATATTGTTCGATTTCACTCAAATTTAGTATGAAGGTGTTTTATGCGATTGTGATCCTTTTCTGATGAATCTTTGCGACTATAGGGGCAGTTTGAGGGACTTCTGTAATTGTCTTCCATTACAATTAGTACTTGTTTGTATATTGTGTTTTGGTCATATGTCATTATTTCGGATATATAAAAGTAAAATGAAAAACTCTATACCACAGCTCCAAGAGATGAACTGAAATAATAGATTCACCATTTCGTGCTTTTAGCAAAATACTTACAGTAATGTAAGTCTCATCTTTGTCCAGAAAGAGAATCAGACACTTACATTCTTGAGATAATGCACGTTGATATTAGTAAAGTACAGAAAACATGACTAGTCGATTGACTTATTTGTGTTTTGAAACTGCAAGTCACATTGTACAAATGGAGACTACACGTGCAGGTTAGCCTGCACATCCTTGTCCCCCACGCCTGAACCTGGCCAACATTTAGCACGATTACTAGCCGAAGAAAAGGTAAAGAAGTGACTGAACTGATCGTCTATCTCTGCAGCTATCACACTATCACATCAAGCCAAGATATGACGTAAACACCTGTTACTCCCAAATTCAATATGACCACCTGCCAGACATCTTAGTTTTCCAATCATCCCCAAAATTCGAAATGCGGAACTAGGAACCATTTGGAACCTTCATGCGAAATTTGAGAAAAAACCCGTCTGAACATTCTGAGAAATAACGCTAACAATCTTCCACTCTCAAATTCAAGATGGCTGTCTATTGGCCATCTTGGTTTTCCCATCTGTCCCAAAATTGAATATGCGTAACTAGGAACCATGGGAACTTTCATATATAATTTAAGAAAGGCCCCTACAGAACTTTTTGAAAAATAGTGCTAACAAACTCACTCTCAAATTCAAGATGTCTACCTGTCGGCCATTTTGGTTTCGAGATCAGTCCCAAAACATGATACATATGCATATCTAGGGATCATGGGGAACCTTCATGTGAAATTTGAGAAAGATCCTTCCAATAACTTATGGCAAATATATATACAGCATTAACAAACTTGAACTCTCAAATTCAAGATGGCTGCCTATGGGCCATCTTGGTCTTGTGATCAGTCCAATAAAACGATATGCATAACTAAGGACGATGGGACCCTTTATGTGAAATTTGAGAAATATCCCTCAAATACTTTTGAGAAATAGCGCTAACAAACTTTCATTCTCAAATTCAGAATGGCTGGCTGTCGGCCATTTTGGTTTTGTGATCAGTTCCAAAAAATGATATGCATTCCTAAGGACGATGGGAGACCAATATGTGAAATTTGAGAAATATTCCTCTAATTCTTTATGAGAAATAGCGCTTACAAACTTTCAATCTCAAATTCAGGATGGCTGGTTGTCGGCCATCTTGGTTTTGCGATCAGTCCCAAAATAAGATATGCATAACTGGGGATCATAGGAAACCTTCATGTAGGATTTGAAAAAGGTCCCTCCAGTACAGCCTGAAAAATAGTGCTTACAAACTTTAACTTTCAAATTAAAGATGGCTGCCTGTCGGCCATTTTGGTTTTGCGATCAGTCCTAAAAAAAATATATACATAACAAGGAATCATGGAGAACCTTCATGTGGAATTTGAGAAAGATACCTTTAGCTCTCCAGGGAGTTGAGAAAGCTATTGGTTGGTTGCGGATAATAATTTGTGAACTGCTTTGAGACGACCTACAAACTAGGTAGTGATAAAGCGGTATATATAAAGAACCTTAAGTTATTATTATTATTAGTCTTGTGGTTATTACATTTTGAAAATCATATAAGTGAAAAAATGAAGAAAGCCAACTCAATGTTTGCCATGCTAAGAAGAACCTTTCATTTTATGGACATAGATATATTTCTACCTTTATACAAATGTCTTGTTCAGTCGCAACTTGATTATGCAAGCGCAGCTGGTATCCGTATAAATACAAACATATTAATTTAATTGAAAATGTTCAACACCGAGCAACTAGATTCTTACCTGGACTACAAAAATGATCATATGAAGAAAGGCATAAAAAGTCTAAATCCACCTACATTATCACACAGTCATATGCGTGATTGAAATAAGATGATCAGTGGCGTATATGACAAGAAATGTTGTACTTCTGGAAAATTATTGCCAGATGCCAGTGGCCATCAAACACAGTGAAAGAGGAAATTCAAAAAAACTTTTTCCACAAAAGGCAAACTCATTAATAAGCAGGAACTCTTTTACTGTGAGAGCAGCATGCATAATGGAACAATCTACCAGAACCTGTGATATCTGCTCCAAACACAAACTGTTTTAAAAATAGACTAGACAAGTTTTGTACTATGTACTTTGTACTGTATGATTTTGAGTCCGGTGAAGAGGATATATTGTTCAAATCCTGTACCGGAATAAACTTAACTTATAATAATTATACACGTAGTGACTGCCACAGTATCACCAAGCTATGGCGATATCGCCGCTTATGTGCCAGATCATTCTTGCGATATTGCCAGAAACCTCATTTGCATATGAAATCTGAACACGCTGTGATATCGCTGTAAAAATTTGCGGCCGTATCACAGCAATAGTGTACCAGACTCAATATTTCTGGAAGGGTTGGTAAAGCGTGATGCCCGTCTAGAGTTGCCTGCCTCAGAGGGTCCCGGATTCGAACCTGGTCCCAGGCTGTGCATTTTTACTCTCGTGCTACATTTGGTGCCTGTGTCACCAACCCTTGTTTCAAGTACTGGGTGAATGCTTGGCAAGGGGATTATACCCGAACTTGGGTTGTAAATATATAATGATGTCTTCTGTGGCGAAGACTTAATTAGAAAAAGGAGGGAGGAATGTAGCGGATCTGGACTGGCCATGGGCGACCAAGTTAAGCTCAATTGCATTGGTAAAGCATACGCGTCCGTTTAGATTTTGGCATTTTCCCGCTCCTACTACAATATTATTGTTATTGGTTGAAGACGAGGCTACTATCACTTTATGAATACCTGATCGTTCTGTGTCACTTCTGATGAACGCTTACTGGATGATTGACCATCTTAAAAAATAATGAAATTTTCGATTGACCTATCATGACTTGTATTTTCTTTTGGTTTCCTAGATGGTGAAATTGCAACAGGCGTTTTGTCTACATCGATATGTAGACATCTCCCGCGATCGAACCATCGGAAGTCGTTTCGGAATACCTCATTAGCTAAGCTCGAATGCGGTAAACGGCAGCTGTGTAAAACTAGCTTTGCGCACGCACAGTTTCCAATTTTTCTACAGCAAGTATAACTAACACCAATATAAAATATTATCAATAAGTTTAGTTGATATATTGAAATATAAATTATTATATTAACGCATATATTTTAAAAGATTGGTATTAGGAAGCACATATTACTATATACTAAAATGGCTGGAATAATCCAGAGTTATAAACTTTTCCGAACGAAACTCGAGTGTTCCGAAGAGCCATTTGGAACTTAGAAAATGTCTGTCAAGTTGATGGATTTGATTATTTAAAATGACAATTGGTTTTGTTGGCCTAAAAGAAAAAGGTTCAGAAATAGTTCTAATTGGTGAGAATCACTGTCATTTAATAATCTGTTGCATGTCATTGTCAACCAGAATGAGACAAATGAAAGTAGTTTGCTGAGGATTTATATGGTGAGGGTCCAGTAGCCTAGTGCAGCTGTTATGATGCCAAACTCAGTAAGAGCGCGGAACTATTATCATAATCAGTCACCACATACTCAAATATAATGTGAGTTTTTAAAATTCATCTTGATTTTTGTTATTTTTCGTACACAGCCTTGTTGAAGAATTCTAGTTTGGTTTGATTTGGGGAGGTGGGGTTGTTGTTGTTTGTTTTATATTTTTAATGAGGAAGTCTTGGTTTCTTTGACATGCGTCTACCTGAGGTAAGCCGTTTATTCCAAGTTTCTGGTTAATAATTTTA